TAATTTTACAATAATATCGGTTTCGTGTAGATTTTATAATGGTATAATTCATAAATGTATCTTCCATAAATAGTGACTTATTGCCATTAATGTAGAAAAGGAGAAAATTTGACTAAGTAACAAAATTTGTAATATGGGAACATTTATTAAATTGAATTGTGTCTGATCATTGGGGATTAATAAAAAACAACATTTAAAATTAAAATATTTTATTTTTCGTTGATTTACAACAAATGTTCAAATTGTTTGCCTGACACTCTTATGCATGCCCTACATCTTCGGATAAATGATCTTCTGAGCAGTCTAGTGTACCGTCGCTCGCATATTTTTGATGCGGCTTCTCTGACACGACTGCGTAGTTCGTCCAAAGACCGCACGGGCTTACAGTATACTTCCTCTTTCAGACAGCCCCAGTAAAAAAAAAATCCAATGGATTTAGATCCGGTGAACGTGGAGGCCACAAAATTGGCCCTAGACGTCCGATCCATCTATTTGGGTAGCTGCTATTTAAATATGCACGAACCGGAACAGCATAATGCGCAGAACAACCGTCATTTTGCAGCCAATACGATTCCCTCAGCTCCTCGGGAACCTCTTGTAATAAATTGGAGAGATCATTTTGAATAAACTCCAAATAACTTTGCCCCGTTAAATTCCCCCGGTAATTCAAATGGGCCAATTATCATACCATTTAATATTCCCTGTCCAATAATTTATTTTAAATTGGTATTGTGACCTGTCTTCACGCATAAGATGGGGATTTTCTAGTTCCCAACTATGTAAATTGTGTAAATTTAAGTAACCGTCTCTTTTAAGTGTTGACTCATCGCTCCACAAAATTTTATTAAAAAATTGCGGGTCTTCCATCTTTGCCAGCTTTTTCCGGCAAAAACGCACTCTTGAGAGATAATCTCTTGGTTGGAGAGTTTGCACGCGTGTAACGTGGTAAGGGTGGAATTCGTTTTTCTTTAAAATATCGTGTACGGTCGATTTTCCAATACCTGTGCGTCGAGCTATTGCTCGCGTAGAGGTTGAAGGATCGTTTTCAATATCCTCAAGCACCACGTCTTCTACATCAGGACGAGCGATTCTTCCAGCGCTAGCACCACCGACACCACTACCCGGCATTCTTCCTTCAGAGTAACAACCGTGGACTCTTATAAATACACGCCAGTCAGGGTGGCGAGCATTAGGGTACCTCTCCCTATAAAGAGCTGCGGCTGCATTTGCGTTGCCTCTGCATTCTCCATAAATAAAATGCATGTTTGCATATTCTTGTGCCGTGTACTGATGACGTGGCATTTTGATAGGTACACAAAAGTCCAGTTTAGTCCAGAAACAAGCCAAATCGTCGAAAATATCACCAAACGCAAAACAAGTCCAAATCAATAAGAAAAACAAATAGTCCGGTAAAATAGCCAAGTGGTCGTTTTAACACTGATTTAAATAATTGCAAAGGAGAGAAAATAAATACATGCGAAGTCGAGCAGGTCGTGTGACGCACTAAGTTCTCTTTTACATTTAGCTCTTCTCTCTCCCACTTACCCAATTCAGACCTCTCTTTGTCTAACACAAAAGGCAGCAGGTAGCAAATATGAAGGTCACACGACCCATTTCACGCTAGTAAAGTAACCATTTCAAGATTTAAATTGGTTATTTTATTACATTTAAATAAGTTAATTTCTAATACTTAATTTGGTTTCAATTTGTTTAAAAATAGCTGTTTTCATGTATGATCAACTCCTGATGTGTTTTTATTAATTCCCAATGATCTGAGACAATTCAATTTAAAAAATGTTCCCATATTACAAATTTTGTTACTTAGTCAAATTTTCTCCTTTTCTACATTAATGGCAATAAGTCACTATTTATGGAAGATACATTTATGAATTATACCATTATAAAATCTACACGAAACCGATATTATTGTAAAATTATTGGTCACCCATACATTCATACATTTTTTTCATACCCAAGAGGTTTGAACTTCGCTTAAATAATATTTTTTCCATGTTTTTCAGAAATAAATTGATTTGCGAATTTTTTAAATAAAAATGCAAAAGCTATTCATATTGTTTACATTTTACCTATAAGCACAGTTAGTGTATAATAATAATATAACAAAAAACCAATAGAAATCATTCATTTTTGGTCATAGTGTTAAAGACAGTAAAATAAGATAGAAAAGAATCGACTTTTCTTTAAAAAAAATATATCAAAGGTACTACTTGTGATATATTATTTTTCGTATTTTTTTCAGGACGGCCATAAGTTGTACTATAAGACATTTCAAGGTTATCCATTCATTACCGGACACCCTGTATATATATATATATATATATATATATATATATATATATATATATATATATATATATAATGAAATAATATACATAAATAAAATAAATAAAAGCCCAACCAGATGGAAGCATTGTCCGCCGGTTTCTTTCCCTTTCCACTTCACAGTGGTAGAGAGAGTCCTAAAATAACAAAATTCAAAAGTTGAACTCGATACATACGACGTTTATCAGGTATAAAATAAAATAGTTACCTATATTCTCACCTTCTTTCTTTTACAAGGTTGTTGGCGTTTTTCCATTTCATAGACACCTCTATTTATGTGACCGAAACAAAAAACGTCGATTAAGGATTTTTATTATTCCGGTTCGTAATACTTATTTGTATCAACGAAACATTATGGAAGCTTCATCTGACATCTTACAACAAAACGTAGTTGAATAATGCAGAATTTCGTACTATCGTTGTATAATTTAAAATATATCATGAAGTGTTCACTATGAAATGTACTTCAGGCGGTATATTCCTGCCAAATTATTCTTAGACTTAGTATAGGTTTCACAAGGAATATTAACGGTGTTTGTTTAATCGACACTTAGTGTGTGTCACGTAGAGCATGCAATTATCGGAATTTTTCGATAATCGATAATTCAATTTTTATCGGGTTTTTTTTTTTCGATAAAAACCGAGAATTACCGATTTACATTAAAAAAAATACCTGTCTCTTAAAATTGCTTTCTTTGTGCATTCTACAAGAAAATTTATTGTTTTTATAATTCAATGAAATACGTTATTTAATTAAAAATATGGTTTTATTTCCATAAAACTAAAAATCAATATAGAAAAAACAAGTCTTAATCATAATAGCACTAGCTATACTACTATCTTTTTCTCACAAACAAAAACAAAAAATATATAAACAATAAAATAAAATATTAATATTAACCTATTACTTAACATTTTTTGGTTTCATTAGGAATCAATTATTGTAACATTTAACCCTTAATAGGGCATGGCTAAACTGTGGATGTTTGCAAAAGTTTCAAAGCTAGTATGTAATTAGTGGTACATACAGATTTAGGATTTCATATCAGTATTTTTTTACGTGTTTTCAGTTTTTCAGGAAACTATGTGGGAAAATAATTCCTGTTGACCGATTACATTGTAACCTTTGGTGATTCCTGGGAAATTATTTCCCAACTAGTGGGAAATATATTTCATACTTACATTACATATTAGGAACAGTTAGTCAGACTAAGATAATTGAAGTAAATAAAAACACTAAATTGAAAGATAATATCTCATTTATTTTATTTGTGAAACATTTCAAAACAAGGGGCAGCACATAAAGATACCTTGCAAACTTTACACATATATTTGCTGCGTTGCTCCTTTTCACGTGTACTACACATTCTGCATCTTCGAAATTTGGTCAATTCGGGCATGTGGGATCCTACGTCCGATTTTCGAATCTCTTCCGGTACTGAAATGGTACCTCCTTTTTTGTTTTTGAACACGGGCGCGAGGATTTTTCTTGATGAAAAATTGTTGATGAGTCCTCTGCCCAATCGCAACCGGAATTCTTTATGGGTGTTTCTCCTTTCTGAATGTGACGTCATATAAACAATATAAGAATTGATGACGGCTGCCTCCAACAAGAACCAAAAAAGTCTGTGCCAATTCTTCCGCGACTTTCGTCCTAGGGGGGTATGATGCTCTAAAGTGATCGAAATGATCAACACCACCCATGAACTCTGTATATTTTTTAATCGAAAGTGGACAGTATATTTTCTTCTTGCTACCATCTTTATGTTTCCTCTCAATCAATTCAACTGCTCGAGGATCAAACGCAGTAGTTCCAAGAAAAACATCTTTAGTATCTTTCCATTTCAATACTCCTATAGGTGTATTATACTGATATATAAACTCACCAGGTCTCAAAGCTGTTTCTTTCTTTTCTTCGGGGTTAAATTTTTTCCTGTTATCAAATCTGGTAAGCCCTTACGGTTCATTCTTAGTGTTCCAACACAGTAAATGCCTCTTTCATGTAAAAGTTCCATCAGTGGCAGACTGGTGAAAAAATTATCAAAAGATTTAGATTATGACTCTGGCCCCTAAATTCTCTTCAGTTCCAGTATTAACTTTACCAGTATAAAATTGAAATTCATATAAATACCCTGTAAGAGAATCTGCTCTTGCCCAACACTTGTACCCACGTTTTATAGGTTTTTTGGGCATATACTGCTTCATGTGACTACGACCTTTGAACCTGATCATACTTTCGTCTATTGAATTAAATTCTGACACTTGAACATTGTCTTGAAAAACTTTGTTTAGGATTAAAATGGCAAGTCTAATTTTACCCAATTTATCATAATCTGGTGAGTTTCGTGGAGCTTCTGTGGAAATATTTGATATATGGAGATTTTGTGTTATTTTTTTAAATCTTTTTTAAGGGCATTACTTTGCAAACAACAGGATTTCTGAAAAACTCATCAGTTGACCAATAAGTATTTATATCTGCTAATGGATTTATGCTCATTAGTATAATCACTCCTAAGTATGCTTTTATTTCTTCTTTTGTAACTTCAGTCCAAGCTTTTGAATGTGTGTGTCTTGCATAAATATTTGTATTTTCAACAATAATATAAAGTAACTCATCAGGGAAAAAGTCAAGAAAATAATCCAGTGGTTGACTTCTATTATTGTAATTTTTTTATCTGCATTTTCTTCTCGAAAATAGGCCAAGTAATATCATCAGTTGCAAAAGACCAATCTCTTGATTTATTTTGAAATCGAATGAATTTATCCCTAGAGAAAGAAGATGTTGGTTCTGCATTAGAGCTTTCATCAGGCTCTGCCAATAGTGGTACTGGGGAAGAGTGGTCTGCCTGGACATCAGCTACAGAAACAAGTGAGGTTGTTTCACCAGGATTTTGATCAAGTAGCATAGGAACATCCGAAATCACATGAGAAGGGCCTGCATGGACTTCAGCGATTGCATCTTGTGAAGTTGAAGCCACTTGAGGAAGAATCGGCTTAAAAATCTGTTGAACTGGTGAATTCAAAAAAGTTTCATCTTGGATAAGAGACAAATCTGATTCTCCCACCAATAAAGAATGTAATTCTTCGACAGAAATACCTTGAATCTCATCCAAACGCTTGTCGAAATCGACATTGTAACTACTGGTAGCAAAAGAGTCAACTGCTTCATCATCAAGGTTTTCTTCTTCCGATGAACAAAGTAGCTGTGACAGCTGGATCTCAATTTCAGAATCGTGAAGTGGTTTCTGAAACGTAAAACAGTGCTTATGAGATAAATAGAAATCCTGCATGCTTCCTACGGAAACAGTTTTCCCACATAAATCGTTACGTAGGAAACCTAAACGAGCAACAAGCAAATATTTCCCACATACTTTGAATCCATCAAACCAAGTCATTTTTTGTTATTTGGAAAAATAAAACACATCAACAACTGAAAAAACATTACATCTATGCAAAATATCTAGGATTTTTTCTCGACATATTATCTATTTCATTAACAAAACTGCATAACAATATAATTACCGGTTAGTAATTATTGTGACAATGATGTTGACATCTCTTTTTTTATTTTTTCTTTCGTTCGAAAACACGATCACAGGCCTATAAAATATTAATAAATATATATTCAACTACGAAATGACAGTGACAGCTCATGGAAAAATACGTCCCATTGAACCGTTTAAACTGTGAAATTCAATGTGGGAATAATGTTCCTATTGCCTTATTAAGGGTTAAATCAGTCGTTTAATTTAGAATAATTTGTAGGTATATTATTAACATACATAATCTATTTACAATTTTTTTGTTGTTGGAAATAAGTGCGAAGAAACGACAAGCAATTTATAGTTTTGTCGCTAAGGCTTGTGCGCAGTTTATTACATAATATTCCAGCCGCAGAAAAAGCGCGTTCACTCTCTACACTTGTTGGCTTAATTGAACGAATCCATCGATAAGCTTTTGACAGCAATTGGCCTCGATCACCTCCATTTTCAAATAACAGCATTTCAACCTTCAGTAGTGTCAATAAGTCTTCTTTAGACGTTGAAAGATTTCCAATTCCAACTCTTCTCGTGTCATCAAAGATAATTTTGCTGATTTGTTGGTTAATTAATTCTTTATTTGATAATGAGGAATTGCTGCCGACTTCATTCTGCGAATCATCAGTAGGTAAGTCATTGACATCGTTGCAAGTAAAAGATTGTGCGGCCGAATCGTATTTTAGAAGCCCCAATACCATCTCTTGCAGACAATCGTTAGGCAAGCGCGGATAAACATCTGCGTCATATTCATTTTCTTCAAAATATGTTGCTGGGTTGTGAAGGTATTGCATTAGACTTGCAACTGGTTGCCGCCTTTGTTTGATCCTTTTGCTCAAACTTGCATGAAGCTCCTTACTAAGCAACGTGTTACGAGTTTCAAGTTTTTTAAGTGTTTCAAGTTGTAATCATGGCAGCATCAGCACTAAGCAGAGTAGCATCTTCGCGACAAACAGCTTCAACAGTAACTTCATTACATCGAGATTCTCATAAATGTCTTCGAGAATAGACCACTCCACTTCATTAATCTGGATATCACATTTTACATCAATGAGTGCTTTTAAGACTGCTCTTTTCACTTTAATAAACCAACCAATCATATTGCAAAGAGTACTCCAGCGCGTTTTGCAGTCTAATATCAGTGCGTATTCTTTACCAAGCTCCATTTTTATGTAATTTTGAAGAATATCGGATTTCGTTGGTGACTTTCTGAACATCCGCACAATATTCCTCACCTTTTCTACAACAAGCCCAAACTTAATATTTGTCTCCACGTCAACTGTTACAGTTGGAGCTTGCTCTATTTGAAATCCACCAGTCTCAGTATCATCTTCAGTGCCAATGCAAACAGTGTTCAGATTATTTTCGTTTTCGGCAAGTTCTTCTTGAGCCTCATTTACGTTTTCTTGATTTTTTACGTAGAACGTATCCACGATGGCCAATTGCAAGCCATGAGCTAAGCATAACTGATGTATGCAGTTTAAATTTCCTCCTAGTTTTGTCATAACAGAAGCTCCATCAGATATAATGGCGATCACATCAGTGTCAAAATCTAATTTAAATTCGTGTAGCCTTTCTCGCAGGTATTCTTCACACTTGATAGCGGTAACAGAGCCATACGTCCTACATAAACCAAGATTTCTCGTCGTGTGGTGGTTACCTTTGAAAAATGCACAGTGAAGATTCACATTCATATATCGCCTATTTCTTGAAGATGTCCATTCATCTATTGAAACCGAAAATTTGTGTCCTTCATCCTTTAGTTCCTGTATTTCCTTTATAAGGTTTTTCTTAGTCTTATCATAAAACTTTATAGTCACATCTTTTATAGTATTTGCGCTCGTAGGTAATTTATAACCAGCTTTTTTAAATAGATGCTTCAGGTCTTCAGATTCTGTAAATGCCCTGTATGGCATACCGTCAAGTGCTGTCATTCTTGATACCATAACATCCAATGATCTGTTTGATTGTGAGAAGTAGTCGGTCATTCTGCAATTTTTCGCTGAAACTGGTGACTCCAATAAAGAGTTATCATTTTTTCTTTTGGAAGTCCCAGCAGTTTCCCTAGCTACTTCTGAAGCAAGCCTTTCGCTGTCAAGTGAAATATTATGTAATCTTAAATGGCTGCGTAGTCCTGTTGTAGTACCACCCGCACACTTAATAACTTTTTCACATGTTTTACATTTTGCAGAATCACTCGTATCGGCCTTTAGGAAATGATACCAAACCGACGTTGGATCGGAACTTTTTTTGTATACAGGAATGTAGTTTATTTTATTTGACATTATTGATTAATTCACTCGTTGCAGTAAGTACCTAAAACAAAAGATATTTTTAATATTCACACTATTAATAATATTATGATTCGAAATTTGAAGCTACGGGCAACACTGGTAGACTGAGACACACTGAGACGTGATCTCGATAAAAATACGGTAATTTGGTAATACTGCGAATGATATTTAAGTATTGTGTAAGTAAATAAACTTTTAAACACACTACGTAACATTTAAATAACGTGTGCCTACCTAAAGTTAAAATATTATATAAAATTACCTACTTATATGACTGACCACTGTGGGCTATGAAGTAAAGAAGATGTATGAATATGAAGTGGGCTTATAAAGCGAACGTCAAACAAGTACATAATATAAAAAATCTACTCAAAATCTATCTATCTAGATTATTTTACTTACCTACTGTAAATCCTTTAGCGTCGTGTCGACAAAAAAGCGAAGCACGCTCAACAGAACACAACGCAACCAACCAAACATCACACCACACCCACCACACTGGATCACACTGAACAAACTTCCCACGCCGCGCTTAATGGCGCGTTCTGTCCTGCACGCGACTGCGCACTTGTGTTGGTCATGAAATGAGTGAGCAAGAGAGCTATAGACACGGGCTAGTGGAATGCCACTGCACGCAGCGCGAATTCCAAAAAATAACTCGCGGTAGTGATGGAAATGATTGCATAAAACCTTTATGAAATTATCGTTTATCGGTATTTTTAAGAAATTTTTCGATAATTATCGGTGAAAAAAATGAACTGATTACCGATAAATTATCGGTGATTGTTTATCGGCACTTTGCATGCGCTAGTGTCACGGGACGTACACAGAGGGCACAGCTACGACAGGTTTTTTTTATAGAATAAGTGTGGGTTATTTTTAATTTGATTTAAATATCTTTTAAAATACAAATTCAGCAGAAAAGCAACTTTTGTTGAACGAGTGCACCCTTAAAATTAATTGTTAAAAACATGTTATTTAAAATATATATATAGTGCGTTGCGGCAATACCGGACGGATTTTCGACTAGTTAAAAGAGTCTGGCAAAAACTTTATTTTCTCGACATCCATATACGTCAGATTTCTGAAACATGGCGCAAATCGTTAATGGTTACACCTAATTTAGCTATAAGAAGCTTTTACTTTTCAAAACTCAACAGTTTCTGCTTAAAACGTGCGCGAAGACAAGGCATAATTTTTTTATATGCATGATGAAGAATTGGCCATCAAGGGGAAGACCGGACGTCGCTAAAAATCGCAAATAAAAGTGATAGGGAAAGACCGGACAGACGAAAAAATTCAAAAATTACCTTGTTTTATAAAATACTGCGCAGTACACGCCCTACTTTTCAGAGCGACTGGCTGAAACTTGGGGTCAGGGCAGAATAAAATGGAGTCTTGTACCATATTGCTAGCTTTTAAAAATATAGCATAATTCACCGGAAATTTGAATTTTACGGTCTTACCCCATCACCGATCTTACCCCAATGCACTATATGCATCTAAAGGTGGTGTTAATACTGAATGAATGAGAAATGTCTAATTTGGGGTCTTTAATGTTGTAATAAAACAGCAGTTTACCCAGCTTGAAATATTTAATCTTATCATGAAACAATTGGAGACACTGATAATAAATTATTAAGCATATTTTGTTCCAATGAATACATATTTTAGATTTAACAACACTTAATTGTATTTTGCTTATATGCGATGGTGCATAAGATAGTAAATGTATAATATCAACAGGGTAAAAGCTTCATTTTAACAAACTGAATTTAAAACTTAAAACGTGTTCATTTAATTCATATATATAAAAATATAATAACTTTTCCACAATCTTACCGTTTAATTTAAGTAAATGTTGTGATACTGCTTCTTATTATCTTTTCCTTGTTTCAATAAACCTAACCCTACATATCGCGCCATTACTCTTAGATATGAGGGACTTAGCTTCTTTCTCTTGTCTAGTAGTGATTTCAGTAGCCTTTTTGAGGATTCATCGAATGAAGTTTGATAATCTGACGCCTGAGAAAAAGAAAATACTAAAATTACATATAATAAATATTTTTTACTTGGTACAAGCATAGTGCTCGACTACACCACGACCCACCTAGTGGTAAGTGGTGTTAAATTTCTAAATGGTAAATCGCACTGTTCTGGCGCAACGAAAGCCTACTCAGTGTTTTATATTGCTTGCCTTGTTGCAAATTATTTCACTCTTATGCTATATGAATTAAGAAAAACAAAGAAAAGAGTTTAGTTCGAATACGTGGAATATAGATAAAAGGGGGTGAGGACATGCCAAGCGTCTAGTTGTCTGATGGTAACGGTAAAAATAAAATCATGTAATTCCTACCACCACTTCGGAACGTACCCTATAAAATACTTACGTGATTTTTTTATAGAATAAAGGTAACAAACGAGCACATAGTCCACCTGATGGTAAGTGGATGCTGTGGCCTATAGAAATCTACATTTATCAATACGATTAAAAATCAAAACGTAGATGTGTTGTCACCCCTGAGGATTACGATGGGATGCCTCGTTTCCAGTAAAAAAGGGTCTCCAGATCTCAGCATTCACCATACGAAATACAGCAGTATTAAGCTTCTGTTTTACACTGGTATTCTATGAGAGCGTGGTCTTTCCCCGTTCAAGCCGACCCATTCGTGCTACATCTATAATATAGCTGCAGCGTGGCTCTACCACGTATATTCATTGGTATATTGACATTTCTTGGTATTCATTTATATGATTCTTGGTTTTTGTGGCCCCAACCGGTCCTAAAGTGCACGCTGCAGCTATACTATGGTTTTAGCAAGCACGAGTCGGCTCGCCCGGTTTAGGACCACGGTCTTATGGAATACCAGTGTAAAATAGTAGCTTAATGCTGCTGTGTTTCGTATTGTGAGTGTAGAGAACCGAGGACCCCTTTTACTGGAAACGACATTCCATTTTAGTCCTCAGGGTTTACAACACATTTGCGTTTTGATTGTTAATTGAAGATAAATAAAGATGTCTATGAGCCATATCATCCACTTACCATCAATTGGAATGTGTGCTCATGCGTCACCCTTATTCTATAAAAAAATATCGAGAGACTGGCTACTATACATATATCTAACATATACTATACTCTACGCCTGTGTTCACAAGCACACGTTTGGTTTCAACCATATCAAGGTCACCGATACGTCTCTCAACTGTCTAAGTTTAGTGTTATATACAAGAATTGCTCGTTTAATGATATAGGATACCTATCTCGTTAGTTAATGTTAAAGCTACAGCTTATGTAGGTCCCACTGCTGGGCACAAGCCTTCTCTCGCTTCTGAGAGAGGTTTAAGGCAACGAAGTGTTCACCGCGCTGCCCTAATGCGTGTTGGCAAACTTCACAATGTTTTCCTTCACCGCCAAACACGTGATAAATCAGCACTTAAAATTGCAATTAATAATTTCAATGGTGCCGGCGGAAATCGAACCCGGGTTGCTCGCGTACTGTGAAATTTACAGCGATCGCTAAGCCCACGAGCTACCACGGCTCTGGCACTGGCTCAGAACTTCTCTGAGTGGTCATCTAAATGCATAATCACACTGTGGGCAAAAGCTCTTGATGGATTGTCTGTCAAAATTCACGAAACGTGGGAGAAAATATGTAGTGGTTGAAAGGGAAACCACACGGTTAAGCGCGGAGTGGTGGATATTTGATCCTAAGATAAGAAATTTAGTGACACGTGCATACGCGTACTAAAGCCACATGAGTAAAGAAGCCGACCTTTACTCTGTGCTAAAGCCGGCCACATTAGAATGTATGCTTTATGTATTATCCACATACAGTTTCAAAGTGTAAAATCTATTTTTAGGGCGAAAAAAAAATACAAATGCGACCGCTAAATCCATTTCTTCCGTGTAGTATGAATGATATATCAAAATTATAAATAAAGCCTTAAGCAATAGTCTATCATAAAAATGGTGTTCTGTCCATCATAATGTTGGTGAAGATCAATAAATAATAAAATAAAATCTTACTGTGGTCTTTGCAATCCAATAAAGCTCTTCCAGAAAATTATCTTCTTGTGTGCTTGGTAAAAAAGACATCCCTTCGTACTGCATAAAAACAAAAAAAAATATTACGTCATAAAATAATTGACCGTGGGGAGGGGGGCGGGTTATAACTTTTGTACCCTTATACGCGTCCCCTGCCAAAAGAGCTGTACCTTTATCTGGTGGCAGGCTTCGGCCGTGGCTAGTTACTCTAAGCTAGCTTGTCCCTGAAGTCGAAGTCAAGCCGGAATCGGGTGATAGGTCAAGTCACAATAGTTAACAGAAAAATATTAAACAAATTTGTTATGTACTTTAAAAATTATAGGCATTTAGAAAAAAAAACAAATCTACACTCTGTGACCGTTTTTCAACTCCAGTGGCTACAAATTTTGCTTGAATAACAATTCTTCAAAATTGTTTCAGCTTACAGTCAACTGCATCGGTCCAGGCGGAAATGTAATGTTTTTCCCAACCAAATATTTAAAATAAATACTTTGCCCAGTTTTATATTTATGACTGTACTAAAAAAATGTCTACAAGAGTTTGGCAAGTAACTTTTAAAAGGATTCCAGAATAGTATAACACTTGTAAGATTATTTGTTAATTACGGATTTTTATTATAGAGAAACCTTAAAATGATTTTTGTGTACCCCAAGGCTCGCCTCAACCTGTTACTTGGATTTGAGTGAAACGGATGGAACCTGTTGACGAAGTGTGAGCGAGACAGACAGTGGTGCTAACGTGACTAAGACGGAGAGAATAATTCTTCGTAGTTTAAGCGAGACAGATAGTTACGCTACTTTTTCGTTGTCGTTCAGTACGTTACGCTCCTTTGTTTACATATCAAAGATTTTTTTATTTATATTTTTCTATTAACTAATATGACTTTACTTATCACCCGATTCCAGCTTGACGTTGACTTCTGGGAACACCTGTATACCAACGAAACCTAGAAATACCATTCATTTGTGCGCGCTATAAAGGTCATTAGAGGTGCCGTGCATGGAGATTCCGCCTAAGCTGTTGGTTCTACGAGTCTTAGTCAATATCGTGATTCTATCCGTTGTGGTAATTCTTCTAATACAAGTGGTGCTGTTGGTTTGCGTACACGGTATATTTTAGTGTTATCATGTTCACGTTCCCACTATTATTATTTAAGTTAACAATTAACCCTCTGCTGTATTTCCAACATAAGAAGTTTCCTTTTTTTATAGGAGAGGGGGCAAACGAGTATGCGGCTCACCTCATGGTAAGTGACTACTGCCGCCCATAAACAAATGCAACACTAATTCGAGGAATCGCAGATACGTTGTCGGCCTTTTAAAAAATAGTAGTCTATTTTCTTCTATATCGGTCCGGAAAAATCGCTGGTGGTAGTCAATTCCACAACGAAGCTATACGAGGAAGAATACTTCTCGTAAATCGTACAGTAGTAGACCGCCAATCATCCAGATGGTATGGATTATATTACGAGTATTGTTACGTAATGCGATGGTGAAATTAAGCGAATGGAATTAGTCAGAACAATTCCTCAGAGATCTCCCCGTGGTAAATGCGATAAAATACGCAGAGATGCAACATCTCTTCGCAATGCCAAATAGTCAAGCCGAACAGAAAGAGATCGGTCGCCGACGATTCGAACCTCTCTGTGCTGGATGCAATCAAATGGCAAGAGCTGGCATTTGGGTGTCCCAGCACAGATATGGGAACAGTATTCTATGTGAGGCCGAACCTGCACCTTGTGAAGTTGCAGGTGGTGTGCCGGCATGAATTATTGTCCCGCTCTGCTGAGCACGCCAAGCTTTTTATGGGCCAATTTGGCTTTCTCTTCCAAGTGACCACGAAACTGCACGTCATTAAATATGTCGACGCCGAGGATTCCGATACTGGCTGAGACAACAAGGGCGTGTCTTGAAATTGAGAAGATACGACAAAGTGGTTCTTTTTAACAGTAACTGCGCAAACTTGTGTTTTCTGGGGATTAAACTAAACCAGATTTAGTCGTCCCCAATCCGATACTTTATTCAGTAAAGACTCGAATTGAGACACAAGTTTGTTTCGGTTTTTTGCGACGTTTTTCCGAGAAATATCGGCAACGCCGGTGTATAGAGTATCATCAGTGTTTTCGTCCACATATCAATGAATGTTACCGGTTTGCAACATGATATGCAGAAGAAACAGCGTATATGATAGCACTTAGCCTTGTGAAATGCCAACGTTAATAGGCTTATAATCAGAGCATGCACTGTCTACTACGACCATGATGCTCAAATCTGCAAGAAAGTTGGTGAACCAATTTCACAATATCTCGGTATGCCCATAGCATATGAAGGGAGATTCGGAAGAAGCGCTTTGTGCCACACCCGATCGAAGGCCTTCGCTACGTCTAAACTAGCAATGCCTCCTCTTTATAATCTACTGCCTCCGCTCATTTACTATTAGGTAGACCAGAAGATTTACTATTAGCTGATCGAACCCGGCGAAAACACATTTCCAACATATACTAAATGACTTTTGTCTTGTACTTTCATGATGTCTGATTAATTAATTCGTTTGCACAATAGCCAGGCACGTTCAAAGAGCAGTTGCGGTAAACCAGTTCTGCTTTGTCGAGAGCTCAGTTGCTCAGCAGCAACGTCAAAATTACAATGGGCCACTGTCTAACATTTCGGGACCTAAGTAATGGAGAAGGAATTCACGAAAACAAAACCGCCACCTCACGTAAAATTTTGGAATGGCCCCATCGCCAATTTATGACCAAACGTAAGTATCCAATGGCGATCTTCATGGAGGTTCAGATCTTGAGTCCCCAAAGTCCCCAGGCGATTCTTCCAAAGATAAAGTGTTACTTAATGCATTGATGCGTGCGTTGCCGTGTTCTATTTTGCCGATTAGCTCTGATTTAACATGAAAATAAAAAAATAAAGGCAAGCATTCACTTTCTTTTACTAAAAGTGCGCCTCTTAATAGGCGCTAGGATTGCACTCTAATATCAATTTAGTCCGCTAATTGAAACTGAAAAACCACTATATCTATTACATCCTATTTCATGATCTGTCCGTTCATGATTTAGCCCATAGTACGGCCTAGAGCTACGGCTCCAAACTAGAGCAAGCCCAAGATATGGTTTTGTTATTTTAAGCAGTTTTATAAAAATACACCAATCTTGATCTATCTCCACTATTCAGTTTCAAATTCAGTGCTGTCGAGGACGTGTTTAACAAAGCACACAGAAGACATACTACTGCTAGATAGATTGTATAACATATCAGCAATTGCATACCTTTGGTGGCTTTGAAAAAAGCCGTTTGGGTTTGCTTGAGTGAAAGAAAAAGATATTAACATATAATACAATACATGAACAAAAGAAAAGCATGAACAAAGTACAAACAAACTATGTACTAAATTAAATGTTTTTTTTTTTAATTTCGTACATTGTTTGTACTAAATTATTTATATTCTAAATCGAATCGTCTCTCTTTCTTAAGGAAAGATTTGATTACGTCTGCGTAAAATGTTGGTGAACGTTTTAATTGTAACAATAACTGTTTTCCAATTGCGATAATTGATAGGTTTGAAATGGATATGAGCTGTTTTTTCTCAACAAACTTTAAAGTATTTACCTTTTCCTCGCCGATTAGCACTTTAACACACTTCAATTCATCCCAAGGAACACTATTATCCTCTATTTTCACCAATAATCTTTAAAAAACGCATAAATTTTCAACTCGCAGTATTCATTCACTCAAGCTAAACACAGAGTAAACATTGAAATGTGAACTGAACTTGCAAACGCATGGCCCGCGCGCCTCCGCGCTCGACTAACTTCATACCGAAAGCGTGGCTTTTGCGCTCCATAGCTATATAAACAATTGTATTTATATTTATTATAGAACATTTTGCCACAGGTTAGAAAGGGAGTGACCGCCTTCTCGAAAGCCCGGTAAAAAGCCCACACGTGCGAGAGAGACGACTAATCGCTGAATTCAACTCCTTTTTTATGACAGCAGTATCTCTGAGGCTACCAGGTCATGACCTATGTAGAACAAAGGAGCGCGCGCGAAAAATGAAATAGTTTGAAACAGTTTACGAGTTATTTTATTAGTTGATATTATTGAATGAGCAGTTTGATAGGGCAAACCCGGCTTTTCGGCTTCAATGTAAACTTCGCCACAGGTACAGCTGTGGCTGTATTTGTGTAGATATTAGGAGAGAAAAAAAACTTAATCGTTATTCCAGATCCTGCAAAAAAGGCCCACAGAAAACTAGTTTGGACCGTAATAATCGCTTTGGGGCCAAGGATATTACTCATCCTGCTGGTAACCTGGTAATAAAGCGTTTCTCTCGCCAAGGCTGTCAAGATAACTTCGGATTTTTTATAATAATCTACATTTTAAACATTACATTAAATATTATTTTTCATCATCATTTATCAGTTACCTAACCATTCATTAGATTGCTTGTCGTGCTGGCTGCAGAACCCATCCAGGTCCCAAGGTTTTTAAGGTAAGAACTTGTTCTGTTTTACTAAATGAAACTATTTTCGTAGGCACTCAGTGAAGAAATGACGAAGAAACATTAAAATGCGTTATTAGAAATTAAAATAAACGTTATATATAATAATAATAACCCCTCGGTAACTGAAGCATACGACACATAAACTGTTCTATGACAAAAATTGTAGACGTAACAGTTTGAAGCTCAAAGCAATAAGCATATTCAGCAGTGGTCCCACCGTATGTGAAAAAATATTTCCATTGGTAACTTGCCTTGTTGGTCTAATGGTCGTTAACATGACTGCTGAACATGAGGTCCCGGGTTTGAATGCCATGTCGGGACAAAAAAACAGTTATTGAGTTGTTCTGTTGAGAAATTCTCAGTAGGTTCCGTAGTTAGGAGGTTTTCAGTGTTTCACGCCCGTGCCTCGCAAAGCATGTAAATCCATTTATCTTGCGCCTGAGCCTTCTTCAGTCTTGTCGGTTTATTGTTCCATCGGACTATGAGAGTGGTACACGTGTGCTTGGGCAAACACTCGGGCACTATAACCCTGTCCTGCTTATAATGTTGTGTGAATTCGGTCTAGACATTTTTATTACATCTCTGGATACAAAAATCTTACAAGTTTAAATGTACCTGATGAATGAGAATTTTGTGTGGTATCGCATTATATTAAATCATTTACCCGCGAAACACAGAGGTTTTCTTTTTCTAATACTTCAATTTCCATGTCAAGTTCTGTTACAGTAGTAATTCTATTTAAGGCAATTCCTTGCAGTAAAATTGATCGGAATCGTTTCAGATTTGTTGTTTCCTTTTTATTCGCCAATAAGAGAATGAGCAAAGCCTGTACTGGAGTAATTTCTTTTATCCAACTTTTCAACTGAAATTTTACAAACATGAAAATCTTTGTAATGAAAATAAATTACATACCTAATGTAAAAATTCTTAAACAATGACAAACTTAATGAGGCTAAAAATGTAAAAACTTCTTCATATTACCTATGCCAACCTATATAACTGGCGCGTTTTGCACCCTGCTATTTAGTGAAAAAGTCTGACAACTAAAATTTTGCTAAAAATTAATTATTTATGTTATTCGCGCCCACCAACCTGCCAACCTAGCGTGTTAATGTAATATAAGTCTTTCAAAAATATCCATCACTGGGCTTCACATTTGAGGCCAGTCATTTTTAAACTGTAAATTAAAAAAAATTGATGCCAGTTGGTTTTGACATCCTTCTTAACCGACTCACACTACGTGTTTAGAACAAGGTGATAGGTAACTTTTTTAAATATGACGAAATTTGATCAGTGCAACTGAAATTTAACTCGATCATACTACTGCAAATCTTTAAGATACTATTCTCTCTAGATTGGACCAAAAAGTGTGATATCAGGACGTCAAAAACCGCAGCCTGCCTTGTAACTTCGGTAAAAAGGTTAAAATTAAATGCAGCAAAATCCGTATGTACCAGAATTATATTGTCCGTGCAGTTTGGGTCATAAATCATCGAAGTATTTCGCTCTCTCTCTCTCTCTCTCTCTCTCTCTCTCTCACTCACGGGCCTTAGGGGCGAGCATAGTGATGTTATTGCTGTCGACAAATGTTATCGATAGTCTATTTAGTTTTGTCATTATGTGGATTAGTGATAAAAATGAAAAAAAAATTAGATTTAACAACGTATTTATTAAAATAATAATAATGATGATTTAAAATAGATTATCAATCAGGTAGCTATGTAATAAAAAACTATAAGTTCAAATGTTTGAAATGTAACAAGTTATATTAAAAATAAATATAAAGATAATAACTTATATCTAAAATTAATTAAAAATATTTCCATTAAAATTTTCGAATTAATTTTTTTTCTCGCGAAGAGCTTACTTCTCCCTTGATACACTCTTTTTTAATTTTGTCGACCGCTCTAACACTCACACCACATATCGCCGCAGCAAGTTCACGAGAACGGCAAAAATTAACATTTTGTAACTTTTCGGGATCTATTTTCATTTCAGTGAAAAATGTAAAAACATTGTCGATAACAACACGTGCTTGTGATGGTATATTGGTGACAACAGACAAAATATTATCTTGAATAAATTCTGCCGTTTGGTACAAAACAAAGGAAAACAAATTTCTCTTCGATATATGTATGATAGATGTATGATGGGGGGATAAGTCGCTCGCGTCCGTAGGCTTCGACCACGTAATCCTAGGCCCACCCTACATGTTTCCCCCCGGGTGGTGCTAAAAGAGCGACAAAGCCGAAAGAACAGACTCGACTACCCGCCGTGTGGTAGCGGCGTAAAATATACCACCTCCTAGTTTTCGCACCATGAGGCAAAGAGGAAAGGAAATGACCCCGAGTTCCCGGCGCCCCTTTAATGGGGCAGGTGTGCGAAGAATCTCCGGGAGGAAAACCGTCGACGAGGTTCGCCACCCGTCACGTTCTGTCTCCCGGAGGGGCGAAAAGAGGATTGCGGAGGCCCATCTAGCTACGCTGTATGTGGAGCAATGAATGATAAGATGGATGAAGTATGCGATATGATGTATGATAGAGGAATAAATGTGTTATGTGTAAATGAGACGAAGCGGAAGGGAAAGGATGTCACTACACATGGCATATATACTGCGTACTGATCCGTTGTAGACGAGACCGAGCGGGCATGCCAGGAAGTCGGTATCATCCTTTCAGAAGGGTCAATTTGTGAAAGAGTATGAATGTGTAAGCCCGAGACTGCTATGGATACGAATAAAAGTGGGCCTAAAGAAGTCGTTTGTTCTAGGGGTCTACGCCCCAGACATGTCTAAGCCCACTTATATCCGAGAGCAGTTTTGGGAGATGATAAGGATGGTTTTAATGAAATGTAAGGAAAATGAAAATATCGTTATGTTAGGAGATTTTAATGGAAGGTTTGGTGTGAGGAGGCTTTGCTATGAAAGGATACTACTGAGAACGTTTGATGATGAAAGTATTAATGAGAATGGTGAATGTGTAGAAAGGAATCTTTTTGTGACGAACACTTTCTTTCGTCATAAGAAGATTCACATGTATACTTGGGAAAGAGGTGATGATAGAAGCATGATAGATTTCATAACTGTGGATGAAAGAATGAGGAGCGTAGTGGTGGATACACAATGGTTTACCGGGGGTCCAACGTAGGGACTAACCATTACCTGGTCTTATGCCGAATTAGGGGTTTATTTAGACGTTGGCGGCATCGGAAATCTGTGTCTACCAATGCGTTACAGCTTATAAGAATTGAGAGGTTACAAAATGAAGATGTGAAGGACAAGTACAAAAGTAGACTGAGAGAAAATATAAGGGATTTGGATGACTTGTATGTGAATGAGTTAGACTTGGAGAATGTGTGGCATAATGTTAAGAAAGGTTTAGTGGAGGCAGCTACCGTAGTATGTGGTGTTAGTAAGAGAACGAATGAAAGGAAAGACAATACGTTATGGTGGGATGATGAGGTACGTATGGAAGTTGGAGCAAAGAAGAGAGCATGGCTAGTTTTACTAGCAACCAAAGCTGGTGGTTCTGGCGGTATGAATGATGAGATTTAAGGAAAAAAGGCAGTGTTTAAACGTCTAAATAAGAGAGTAAAAGAATTAGTTGAAAGAAAAAAGCAAGAAAGAACGGATAAGAATGATAAAAGAATATCGGATAACTTCCAGGAAAATATTAAAATGTTCTACAAACTCGTAAGAGGAACGTAAATATCATGGGACAGCCTGAATTGAATGCTATACGAGACGAGAATGGTTGTATTCTGAATGATGAAGTGTTGAATCTAAAAAGATGGAAGGAATATTTTGAAAGCGTATTTATGAGTGAGGAGACGTGTGAACTAAATGAAATAGAAATTCCGAAAGAAGATGAAAGAGATAGGGAGATAAGTATAGATGAAATAATGAAAGCAATGAAAAGCATGAAAGTAGGTAAGGCAGTCAGATATGATAGAGTTTCACTCGAAATGCTAAGATCTGGAGAAGAAGTGGTGGCAGGCCTGCTGTACACCTTGTTTAATTTATGTTGGGAACTAAAGCGGATACCGGGAGACTGTTGCAAAGCCGTTATAGTCCCAATATATAAGGGAAAATGGTCACAGCATGACTGTAAAACTACCGTGGTAGCAGCCTTCTTAGCATTGTAAGAAAACTGTATGCTAAGGTACTAATTGAAAGAGTTATGAAAGAAATTGATGAAAAATTTGGGTTGTGCAAGCGGGATTTAGAAAGGGAATGGAGTTTACAGATCAAGTCTTTTCCATGCGCATGATCGCGGAGAAGTTTTTGGCGAAAAACCAAAAAAATTTTTTGTGCGTTCATCGACTTTGAAAAGGCTTATGACAGAGTAGACAGGGATGTGTTATGGCAAACGCTGAACTCATTTTGGTTGAGCGTTGCGTTGATACAGGCATTAAAGTCTCTGTATAAGGACTCGAGTGCTTGTATTAGGATCAACGGGGCCTACTTGGACTGGTTTGGCATCCATAAGTGTCAGACAGGGCTGTGTAGCTTCCCCGTGGCTGTTTGTGGAAAATTTGAAAAATGAAGAATGCGGGTTAAGAATGGGTGAGTTAACCATCAAATGCCTTTTGTACGCCGATGATCAAGTCATACTTGCGTAGTCGGCGGCCGAGTTGCAAATTATGGTTACATTAATAAACAGGTCATTAAAAGAAAGGGGAATGAAAGTGAATGCAAGTAAGACGAAAGTTATGGTTTTTGAAAGAGAAGAAAGTAAAACGATATGTGAAATAAGAATAGAAGGGGATATGGTCGAGCAAGTAGATGAATTTATATATTTGGGATGTGTATTCAGCAGGGATGGGAGATATGATAATGATATTGAACGACGAGTGAATGTAGGAAATAAAGTAAATGGGGCTCAACACTATATTGTGAAAAGTCAGAAAAAATTATACGTGGTAGAGCCATGCTGCAGTTATATTAGTAGTATAGTTGTAGAACGTATGGGTCGGCTCGACCGGGGAAGGAGTATTAATGCTGCTTATTCGTGTGTAGAGAACCGGAGACCTTTACTGAAATTCTCGGGATCTGCATTGATTTTTTGGAGGATGGTGATGTTTGGGACCTTACATCAGGTGGACTGTGTGCTCGTTTGTCACCCTATTCTATAAAAAAAATGTGTCAATAAAGGCACATATGGCAATACACAATGCTGCATTAGTCCCTACTTTAACGTACGGTAGTGAAAGTTGGGTGTGGCAGAAGAAGCACGAGAGTAGAATAAATGCAGCAGAAAGCAGTCGCTTAGGAGTATGTTAAGGCTGAATCTGAGTGACAGGGTGAGAAACTGTGTGATAAAAGAAGAGTGTGGTTTACAAGATGATGCGGTGACCAGGATTAAGACAGGGATTGCTTCGGTGGTTTGGTCATGTGGAAAGAATGAATGGGGAAAGACTGACAAAGCAAATATATGTTGCAGAAGTGAAGGGAAGAGTCAGAAAGGGACATCCTAGGCGAAAGTTTGTTGACCAAATTGGCGATATATTAAAAATGGGCCAAATTAAGAGTACCTTTAACCGACGAGCTTGTATGCGTAGGTATGTGGAAGATTCGAGAGAGGTATGTCAGGATCGTGTTAAATGGAAGTCAGTAGTCTCTGCCTACCCCTCTAGGTGACAGGCGTGAGTGTTAATGTTATGTCATAACATAACAATGTCGCACCATCCTTTGTATACCGCACCGCCGCCGTGTACCTGCCTTAGATGATTCATTTGTTGTTATCGATAATGGCGTTGCGCCCGTACAACAATGCTCACCGCCCTAGCCGGGCTGAGGCCGAGCTATGATTTATGACCCCAACTGCACGGACAAAATAATTTTACTTTAGTTCGTTTAAAGATACTACAAAGCCTCAATCACGCTATGAAAGTTTCTGAACTACAGCGGTATGTATCCGTGTAGGTCCGTATTACAACACGAAACATTAGGTCACTCGCCGGGCCGTACACCTTGCCTAGCGGATGTTCTCTCATTTCTCATCCACGGCCAAAAACGCATTACAGTTTACAAATCAAAAATTATTGATTATTATACTAATACTGAGTTGAAAATAAAAAATATACCTCAGTTATAAGAGATAAAACTGTTTTTCCTGCATATCCATCTAAAACACCGGACAAGGACTTACAGCATCCGAAAGTAAGGAAGAATTCATCTATATTTGTTATTTTATTTATCGAAGTGCTACAAACTTCTTTAGATATGTTTGTAATAGATTTACATTTCTTATACGGCTTGTTAGAAGTTTTCTTAATAATTTTTTCCATTTTTTCCTTTTCGGATGGTAATTCAATAACTTTCATCATATAAATTCCGTTGTAACGCTTTGCGTACAAATTTAACTTTAAAGGTGAATTAAACGTATATTGAATAAAGCAGTTTGTTCCATGATTCGTTTGCCTAAAATCGTCATAAATGTTACATCCAAGCCAGTTCTTTGGCGTTACAAGTTTCTTTTTACATTCATATTGGTTTGGAACTGACATAAAATTAAAAAACCCATAAATGTATGTCTGTAAATCTTTTATACGCTCATTCGTTAATGTTAAAGTAGAATAAGATGTAAAATCCAATCTCTTATTAGGCGGTACATATAACTGCAAAGCCTTGCAATTGTTGACTAGTTCTTTGTTATAACAAACGTTTTCGGTTTTATTTCGAACGTTATATTCATTACTGTTCGTGTTTAAAAAAATAAACAAAGGATTAGTTAAAGATAGTAAATCTTTGATTTTTAAGCAGTATTTTGGCAGTAAATTATCTTTTTGGCATAAATCGAGATAAAATAATTTTCTGCGATTAGTTCTTAGCATAATTTTAGGAGATATTTTTGAATATATTCCTCCTTCAAGTATTTTCGTTTCCAATATTAAACGCTGAATAGATTCTGGTTTGTCAATTTTTTTCAAATTATGTACTGATACTAAAGAGAAATCTGTAGCATCACAGGTCGACCCATGTGCCATTTTTTTAAATTCTTTTGTCATTTGATGTATCAATTTGGGTAATATACTGCATAACTCTGCAGGTAGTACAGTGTTCATAATTCTTGTTTTATATTTGTATACCGTAGTCTTATTTTCCTTTTCGTCTGCCGCCATTACTGGCAAAATCCATGGTATAAGTGATGCGGATTGTATAGAATCTGACACTGTAGGAATATTTATATCAAACTGTATGACCACATTTGTTAAACAATGGTATATCCATATTTTGGTACGGGTTAGCATTTTGACTTCAAGCTTTGATGATGTAGTGACTTGAAGTTTGCCAAAACCTGGTATGATATTATAACATTTATAGTTGTCTTCTACATTTTTTGAAACAAATTCCATAGAATTTTTAGCAATGCCTTTGGCATTTGCTTTATTATTAGGATCAGTTTTCATTGAGACACCAGCATCTGAAAATAAGTGTTTAAATCTTAACATTAAGTCAATTATGCACAACATTTAATAACTTTAATTACACACGACTTTGTCGTCAAATTTTAGAATAATTTCTTAAACTTACCTAAAACGAAATTTTGGTTCACCGTTTCAGGATTATAAGTATAGTATGTTCCTCTCATAATTTTATTTAATACATTTTCAATAAAATCACTAATGCATTTCACTTTTGACCATGGATATTTCATGGATAATGAGGGTTTATTGAATGAAAGTGATTTCTCGTAATGACATATATTTGCATTTTTTTTCGAGATACTTAATGGTGTTTCAATTCCTGTGTTAGTATGATTTTCATTTAAGCAGTCGATATGATCCCTTTTAATCGATTTTGTTGAAGTTTTTTTATTAATTATATCCATTTTATCTTCCAACTGTTTCGCTACTTTTCCTCTTTGAGGATAAGCTGCACTTACATTATCATCAGTATTTGAATTCTTAACTGATCTTGGACAGTTGATTTTATTTGAAAATATAACAGAATTGCCAGTTTTATAATCTATATGGCACTTACTTTTAATATTGGGTACATTAATATTGAATTGGTTCCTAAAGAGGCTGCTCTCTTTTGAATCTCGTGTCCACTCTGTAATTGGAAGTTTCACGCAGTTGAACCTTTTCTTTATTTCTGTACACTTTAGGTTAGGAATAATTGATATAGGTCGTGATTTTTGCTTTACGATTGGGGTCTTTTTAGTAAAATCACCATCACCTTTAGACGAAGCAACCGTTGATAATAAACAAGGTTTAGCAGATAAAGAAGTTTTAACTAATCTGCTTTTCTTAAAATAAATTCCGTTGTTGTTATGCATGCACCCAGCTTTGCTAGATCTCTCTGAAGTTCTAGAAAATGTATCACTAGAAGTACCAATGTGAACCATATCTTTGGATATATTGTTAAGGCATGTTGTTAATCTTTTGCCACCGTAGTTTTTCACGATATTGTTAAGCGCATTTATCAAACTTACGTAATCATTGAAATTAATCGTATCTGATCTAATATGCTCATTATGTAAATAATCCATAGATTTATTTGCTTCATGTAAAGAATATCGTGAACTATTTTCAAGTAAGTACTTATCTTCTTTACCGATATCACCAAATTTTTTGGTATTTGTATTTTTGGTAACATTTCTAAGCATTTTATTTGCTTTACTTCTGATGTTTTTATCTCTTCTGTTTACCTCTTTTTTGAGAATCCGTGTTTCCAAAACATCAGTTTCGGTACATTTCATTCTTTCTTTTGACTCGTCTTTCATGTTTATTACTGTAATACGATCAAAACTAGATGGTTGTGAAAAAAAACTTTGTGCGTTGGTATTAACATCAAAGCCAGATATATAAGTTAATTCTTCAGTTGTACACGTTTCTACTAATCTAAAATAAGAGGTATTTTTTCTGTTATTAGAAATTAAAAGTAACGAATCGTTAACTGTATTCATGGCGCTCACTTTGTCTTCTTCCCAAATTGAGGCTTAACAAATAGGATTTATCATAATTTCTGTTTGATGGGATCCATCAACTCATTGTCCCACGCTTGTCGTAAAAGTCAACTTATGAAAATGAGGCGAAAAACTATTTCATTAATTGCCAGATCAATAAATAGAAGAGGAAATTAATGTTAAGGTGAGGTATATGATACTGTAATTGTCAGTCTATCTAGTGAGCATAGCGAAAGAAAGGCCGGGGGTCTTTATATGAAAGAGAAACCCGATTAGGTATTGACTTAAGAAATTCATGGTTCTACTTCTATTCAAATTTACGTAATATATTATATATATATATATATATATATATATATATATATATATATATATATATAATATCAATACCTTGCATCGTTACGTTTTATGATTCCATTCTTTAAATGTTTTTTTCCTTTAACGGTTTCTATACTATCGTCTGATGAAGGCGGAGAGTGTGTGCATTGGATTCTATTCATATTTCTTAGCATGGCCCACACATCGCATGGTCGAATATTTTCTTTGTCATTTATTTTTGGTTTAAATCTGCGTGACTTACAGGTAACTTCTTTGTCTACATGTAAATGACTTGATTCACTAGTCATTTTAGAATATTTCTGCATGTCTCCATTACTAAATTCATATTTATTGGTTTTCAAATGAGTATTACAACATTTTTTTAACAAACGATGTTTTCTTGGCTTACATTTGCGGTTATTATCAACTCTATTATGATATTCGGAATCATTCATGTCGCTTACAGTTTGTATGATAGGGGTGGGTTTATTAAGTGAAGTTAAATATGGCATCTTGTTTTTTTTATACTTTTCTTTTATGCATTTAGATTCATCTGAATGGGCTTTATAAATTTCATAAGCTTGGGATAATGATGACATATTTTCTGTTGATTCTTTATTGACGATTTTTTTCTCAGTTATCCTGGAACGCACCTGGAATTTATTTCCATCAAGGTACGGTGATATCTGTTTAACGCATTTCTTAAATTTATTGTCCGCATTGCGCTCAATATTTTTTCTGTTTATGGAAAGGTTTAATTCCACCAAACAATTTGAAGATTCGCTAAAATAATTGTTAATGACACAATTTGACTTGGGAGAATTTTTTTCATTTCTTAAGCAATTTACAGCTTTAATAGTCATATTCTTTGAATGTCACTTTATAACCTATAATATTTTAACTCTCCTAAAATCTGAAATTTAAGAATTACACCTTTACCTAGTAATAAAATAATCAATGATAAATTTTGTTGGTGTTTTGCACATAATTAGTAAATCAAAATATATACACAATGATTTCAAATGAGTATTAATACCTATATTTTGTTTTTGTGTAGTTTTTGTTTGATTTTATACCTTGCTTTTAATACTTACTTTTATCTGACTCGCAAATTTCGAAATAATAATCAAAAAGTTCCTACATGAAAAGTATATTGATAAATCAATTGCTACCTAAATGTGACATTTATAAAAAACTAAAAATTCTACGCCATTGATATACCCAATTAAAAATACGCAAAGAATGTTGCGACAATGTCTTTGTATTTTTTTGTTACCTGTTTATGTGCCTGTGTTATGCTAATTAGTATTATTAAAGAGAAAATGTTAACCAGAAAAAATTAAAAAAAAAAGCTTTTATGTGGTAAAGACGCGCTGTAACTTATTACGGCTGCAATACGAACGGGTTGGTCGGCGTAGGTACTCGCCCACATAGAAGAACAGCGTAGAATAATCAGTATAGGAGGCAACGCGCTATTTGCTGTATAGACTATGACTGACGTACTAACCTGGATACAAGTTGACCTCGCTGGAGATAATAGGGCTGATTATCTTCGCTCAAAACAATTAAAACCCAAGAAAAATGTTTAACATAAGAAACAAATAATCATTTTGAGCTATCATCCGGGCTATCTTTAAAAAAATAACATCTTTCTTGTACGATCTCTTTCGAATATGTAGACTGCAATTTATTTTATTTTAGTGTCCATCCGCAATCTTTCGTGTAAATTATTAAGGTATTTCGTTTACGTAGCAGATTGTGTGAAAAAACTGATGGATATAATACGCAAGATTTTATGTTCTAAAGACTTCTAACATTGGAAAATATTTCCTGAATCGATTTTTGTGGACTTTTTAAAAGAAGGCTTTTTAAAAAAGATATTTACATTGTATAAACTTTTTTTAATTCGTGTCCCTATTTTGTGTTTACTCTATAATTTGGAAGGTGATGTGAGAGAATGATTATAATCGAATGCCAAAAACGGTCGAAAAATAATGTTTATGTACGTAGGTGAAACATAGAATGTCTCAAAAAGAAAGAGGTGAGATGAGGTTTTATAGAATATGGGTGACAAACGAGCACACAGTCCACCTGAATCTGGCCCTTACATATCTAGATCTATCTTTAATTAAGGATCAAAATGCGAATGCGTTGTCTACCCTTGAGTACTACGTTGGAATGCCTCATTTCCAGTTATAAGATTCTCCGGTTCTCTACACTCATCAAACGAAACAACAGTATTAAGCTGCTATGTTACTCACTGTCAGGTTCTTCCTCCAGTCGAGCCGACTTATTTGTGCTACGACAGTATTATAGCTGCAGCGTGGCTCCACCACATATAATAGTATGCCTGTAACCATAAATAAGGTGTTCTGTGAACGATATCCTAGTAATATTTAAACGACATGAAATAAGAATGGAAGGGGATTTGGCTGAGCAAGTGGATGAGTTAGATTTTAAATGATGTGTTTTGAACAGGGACGGTGGACAAGCAAAGATATAAGATAAATAGTAAATACGGGGCACTGAGTAACTGGGGCTCTTTACTCTATTGTGGAAAGACAGAATGTGTCAAAAATGGCACGTTAGTATTCCTTAGCATTGATCTCTTACATCATTTCATCATCAATACAGCTCGCAAGTCCACTGCGGAACATAAGCCTCCCCCAAAGAATGCCACAAAGCACGGTCCTGAGCCACTTGCATCCATTGACATCCTCCATATCTTACCAGTTCGTCACTCGAGGCTGAAAACTTGAGAATCTTTTTTCTCTATCGGTTGTCGAGCTTTAAAGCCAGCCCACTGCCACTTCAGTTTACTAATCCGTTGGGCTATATCATTTTCTCTGATTCTAATGCTGATTTCTCATTTCTGAGTTTTTCACGCATGGAAACCCCAAGCATAGCCCTCTTCATAGCTCCCTGAGAGACCTTGAGCTTCCTCATACGGCCAGGTGTGAAGGACCACGTCTCAGTTCCATAAGTAATCACTGGCAACTCGCACTAGTTGTACAGTCTCGTTTTCAAATTTCTCGAACGTTGCCCAGCTGAGTAGTCGGACTATTTGTCCCAGGTAAACATACTCGTCAACAGCTTTGAGCTCAGTGCTCCCAACAATTATCGGCATAGGTATGACATGGACGTTACATATGATCTTTGTTCAGTCCATGTTCATCTTAAGATCTATCCGTTGGGAGGCACTATTGATCTCGGCGTGGACTTAGAATCGTTTGGCAGGAATTTGGGTGAATAAGGTGTTTTATTTGAGAGATGTTTGGTCACTGATTGTAACAATACCACTCGCATTAAAAGGTAATGCATTGTTTTCGAGAAAATAAGAAAGAACTATATACATATATACCTAAAACGCGACAGTAGCCTAAAGGCAGGGCGCGGACCGCGAACTCAAAAAGGTCGTGGGTTCGAATCCGCCATTCGACTACTGGCGTGAACCACTCGTAACACAAGCAATTTAAGCTTACCACGAGTTGTTAAGGGGAATATTAGTAATGTTTATAGCATTGTTAATATTCTTTTTAAAAAAAAACATGTAAAAACATTGAAAAACGTATGCAATATTACTGTGAAAGCTTGATAGCATACATAATTTTGTGTAAGTGCGACAAGGACGTAAGACCATGTCAAAGACTAGTGTCATATTATTATACTTCTATGTTATTTTTACTTTTCTGTGGTCTCGTAAATGTAGATTTTATCGTGCTATACTCGAGCAACCAGAAAAACGTTCTGTTGAAATAACGGGTTAAGCACAGACTTCGTGGTAATTTTTTTAACACCCGGAAATACTTGAGCACTCAGAAATCCTTACAGTTGTGATAGGAGACAACACTGCTTCCCCCTCCCCCCTCTTGCCGGAGACTATAAATGTTATCACTTTTAGGTAACCCCAGATCTAGGGGGGGGGCAAACTGGGGCAGCCACCTCGGACAGCAGTTTCGGGGGCTCCATAATTATAATATAATATAGTTGCAAAAAAACTTGCTTAACAGCGCACGTTGTTTTGTCAATTATACACTTAATTTTTAAACGCTCAGTTGGTATTTGAACACATCCTAAGGTTTGATGTGTGATGGGTGTGATGTCGTCGGTATTATCTTAGCCAGAATACGACGTTCAGCTAGCATCTATTGACTTACGAGGTAGCAACGACAAAATTATCGATGTAATGGATCCAGGTACATGGCCAGACCACGAGAAAATGACAGATCAACAAAGATGATTCTTCAGCAAACAAGCTGTATTACTAAATGATGAACACCCAAATAACATAGAGTTTTGGTCTTCTGAACGTAACGGTAGGCATTTGACACATAACGTGTAGTTCAGAACAATGGCGAATAAGGAAAATATCAAAAGATTCTGGCTTGTTTACACGAAAAAAAATGTACATTTTACTGCACTGCCTGTAAGTTATTCGCCAGCACTTCTACATCATCAGCCTTGTGTAATAAGGGTCTCATTAATTGAAAAAAGATTTCAGAAAGATAAGCTGAGCGTAAAGTATCACAAACGCATGAAAACTATTTTATCAAATGGAAAACTAGTTAACTACAGAAACTGAAATTGTGTCAGGGCATTGATTACAACACAGAGCAATTAATTCAGTCTGAGAAAGAAAATTGGAAAAATATTCTACATGAAGTAATCGACGCTGTCATGTATCTTGTTCTTGCCACAAACTATCTTCCTTTTAAAGGTTCTAAAGAAACGCTGTCATATTTTACTGAAAATTTTCCTCAACCTAGTTAACTCTCAATACCATTTAGATCACGTAAGAAAAGGACAGGTATCCTATTTGTCGAAAACAATACAAAATTAAATTATCGATATATAAAGGCAAATAAAGTTCGAAATACCGTTATTAATGACATCAAGGAAGCCAACTATTTCACCATCATCTTTGACTTCACTCCAGATGTATCTCACATGGAACAAATGAGCCAGGTGATTCGATTTATAAAAATAACAGAATCTGGATGTGAAATATAGGAAAGCTTTATTGATTTAATTTAAGCTGATGGAAAGACTGTAGAAAATATTACATAGCGAATTATAGAAAAACTACAATTTTAGAAAAACTTTAATTGTGGTTTAAATACGCAAATATGTCGCGGAAAATCTTACGACAACGGATTTAATATGCCTAGCATATATAAAGAAGCTTAATACAGAGTTATGCAAATGAACGAGCTGGCAGAGTTTGTAACATGTCTAGCACACACTTTAAATTTTGTGGGTGTGCATTCAGCGTCATCATGTCAAGAAGTAGTTAGCCTATTTGGGCTTGTACAAAAACTTTTTTATTTCTTTTTTGGAAGGAAGTAGATATACCAGATGGTTGGCTAAAGACCTGTTATTGCTGTTACTGCTCTATTAAATTAAATTATTTAGACGGTAGTTGTCAAAGCTCTTGAAGAAATTAAAGAATCTTCTCTAGTAACAGAATATAATATGAAACTGGTCATTTATTACATGCGGTGATGGATATTTAAATTTAATCTCAACATAACAATTTGGGGTAATAATGGAGTGAACGTTGAAATACAAAAAGAGGGTATTATTATTTTGCGTTCTTTGGCGATAATTCGAGGTCTTATTAAAATCTTGCAAGTAATAAGAGAAAAACCAATAGAACATTAAATCAACGAAGCTGCACCTGTATCAAAAATGTTAGAAATCGAGCCAGTCCTTAAAATCAAATGAATTTCCAAATAGAAAAGGCAACTCAATGAAATCTGCAAGGACGAATCAAGAACGCTTGGATCTCCAACTGGTTTATTTTCCAAAGGTATAAAAGTTGTGATCGACATACTTTTAACAGAAATTAAAACAAGGGTAGAGA